CCTCCACCGGCGTCCTATCCTCTCCTCTGCAGCTCTTCACCAGCACCCCTACGGCTTGCGCTTTCTCCCCCGGACCGTAAGCCCGAGAAGGCTAATAAATAATTCATTTGCTTAATAAATTTTGTTGCTTGCGTGCAACCGTCTCCGAATGTAAAAAACGAAACCCTAATTCATTGAAACATTTCACTCGAGTTATTTACAGGTCCAGGGATTGCCGCGTGCGCTGTGGCTATTAGCAAAAGAAAAACACACAGGAGTTCAGGCCCGTCTAAGAAGAAAACTTTCAGGGGCAACGGAGGTTGGCTTTGAAGTAAAAAAGACGACGGTAGTTAGGGCAAAGAGAGGAAGTAGCAATGGAAGTAGGACGCAGTTACTAGCGGGGGATGACTAAGCAGATTAAGCAGATATGTTCATCAAAGGCTGGTATGTAAGCAGGTGAACGAGTACGTTGCTGCGGTGACTATGTTCATCTGTGTTAGTGCAAAAAAGGAAATAGACGAAAACGAGCCGGAAGTAGTTTGCGGCATTTCTGCTTCTCAATATTCTTCTGTCACTTCTCAAACTTCGTCGCCTAGCTTCGAAGCTACGGCCAGCGCGTGTGCATAGCATGCCTCAGTTACATTTGAAACAATGTAAGTTTAACTGCATTTCCCTCAGCGTGGTTGGTTTGCGTTGACGGAAGAAATTCCATAAGAAAAGGGAATTTGTCTGTCCATAAATCTTTCATACCTTTTGCAAGGCTCTAAAGCTCGTCAACATTATTGCTTTTGATACCGCATTGTGCTGTGGTACTGGTGTACGTTACTATTATATGGACATAAACTCAGGCTCCTGAGCCATATTGTCGTCGAAAGTTTCATAGTCATCTACCATATTTACATGAGTCTTCAGTTTCAGCAAACTTTATATCTATGGCAGACGTCTCTGGATACGTGGTTGGGTAAAATAGCTAAAGAACTGGGAGGAAGAATGAGCCGCATCAATTCATTTCAATTAACTTTGTTCTGCTAACAGGTTCGAAGTGGAGAGCAAAAACGTTACAGTTTAACTTAAAATTAGTGGGCACGAATAGATAAGCGAAATCTGGTCTGGAAATAGGCGCTAAGGTAGTCTGTAGTGTAGTCTGATCCTACTTTACTTCCACATTACCACGGCGTGAAACTCTGGGATCAAGGGATATAAAATCTCAATAAAGTAAGTGTGATGGTATATTAAATGACTCTGGTCAATATATAATAAATGTCTACGCTTACCTCGAGTGGGCAACCCTGTTACACACCGCCCGATTTTGGCCGGCTTCCTGCTCCATTTAGCAGATTGATTTTTCGTTCCAATCGTCTGAAAACCACCATCATAGTCGGGTGGTCTGTAATCTTTCTGAGAATGGAGTATCTTTTACTACTTTCTGTCGTTTTTGTTTTGACACGTTCTACTGGGAATACTTTTGATTGACCACTGAGAACATTCGTTATGCATTAAGCACGTCCCTCGGTACATACCCTCGGGTTCAAAACAGCACGATAGTGCACTGAGTTCAGACTAAAGCTCTCTTAATTGTCGAAACAATTCATTGCCTGCAAAAAAGTACATTCTTCATTGATTTTCAAGGCTCACACAAAACATTTATATTTTCAAAAATGCGTTTAGAACGTTTGATTCTTGTTTTACTAGTATCATATCAACCTAAAATCTACGAGTTGGAGGAAGAGGGAATTCTGAGGTGTTTTGACACGCCGGTTGCTGTTTGTACAATCCCAGTATTTCCAGGCCACGTCCAACGGATACGCACTAAAACATTGAATATCTCCAACTTCGTTTCTTTGGAGAAAGTTTCTGTTGCTTTTAAAATTCGCTCAACAACTATAAATGAGTGGTGTAACTGTAGGCAACTTTTATAAATATAAACATATTCGACCAATTAAAGACGCCTGCTAATGTCCTTAACAATTCTACATTCAGAAGAATTTCGATAATCGGCTTAAATCTTTCAGATTAAAAGGCAAGAATCATATTTTTGGTACTCCCTATAAGAAATGAAATGTATTCAAAAACACAAAAATAGTTAACGGGCAACTTATGCACTACATACGTAACTGTTTTGTTGTCCTCTTTAGTGTGCAATGAAGTAAGGGCTTATGATATAATTGTCACGCTGTTTTATGCTTAAACTACAAACAAACATTTATTGATTCGGCCGTTATACAATCTGCGGCATGAAATATAAAGTGCGTGGCTGTAAAATATATATGCCTTCCCATTTACAGTTAAGATATTACGCTATCGCAGAGATCTGAGGCCTTATGCGTGATCCACACTAGTGAAACTCAAAATTTATGAAAATAGCAAAGTCTGAGAGCTGTGTGCAACTTGGTCTTGAGCGACAGCAATCAGAAGCACGACTTGTTTGCAATTTGACTAGCGTTGTCTTTGCCCGTATTAGGGGTAATAATGCCTTACCACTGGCTAATTTTAACCCAAGAAGCATTGCGAGACACATTACCATGCATTTCTTTACAATAATTGAGATTTTTTCTATAGTTAAAATTTGACGAAACCTCATAGTGGGTAACACTGTGCATCACCTCTAAAATGCGAATTTTCCTATGCACTTCCTTCTTCCAGGCGGACGATCGCCTCAATGGCAAACGCAACAGTCTCACCTCCGCCGACCGGGACTCCGGCAATGGAGACAGTCTCGATGTGGCCGCCAGCCAGCCCTGCACCCTGCCCTATGGTACCCGATTCTTCACACTAAGTGGCGGTAGCACCGTCATCGGTATTCCAACTCACCAGTCCATTGAGCGGACGGCGGTAATTGACAAGTGCGGGTCACTGTATGGCGGGTTAACTGCGGCGGCAGCGGCAGCATCAGGAATGACGTCACAGGCGGAGGGCATCCCCGAGACCAGTATGCCGTTTAGCGATGCCTACACCTTTCCGGGCTCCCAGAAGGGGCTGTGCAGTTTAGTTTCGAGTGAACCGGGTGATCAG